TACATAAATAAATAAACATATACAATTTGACACACATATGCACCGTGAAACCATTACTACAAAGAAGGAAATGAAGAAGGGCTCTATGCCCCCAAAGTTTGCTCTCACCTTGTTAAATCCCTCACTCTTGTCCGTTTCTTTTCTTTCCTTTAAACAAAGTTCTCTCCGTCTCTCAGGCTGGAATGCAGTGGCACGATCTTGGCTTACTGCAACCTCTGACTCCCAGGTTCAAGCAATTCTCGTGCCTCAGCCACCTGAGTATCTGGGATTAGAAGCACCTGCCACCAAGCCCAGCTAGTTTTCGTATTTTTAGTAGAGACAGGGTTTCTCCATGTTGGCCATGGCTGGTCTTGAACTCCTGGCCTCAGGTGATCCACCCTCCTCGGCCTCCCAAAGTGCTGGGATTACAGGTGTGAGCCACCGCAGCTGGCCTCTACTTACCTGTTGATATATACATGGGTTGTTTCCAGTTTGGGGTTATTACAAATAAGGCCACCAGGAATATTATCTGCAAGTCACTGTGTAGATATATGATTTCATTTCTTGGTTAAATATCTTGGAGTGGAATGGCTGAAGTCTATGGTACATATATTTTTAACTTTTTAAGAAGCTACCAAATTGTCTTCCATATTGCTTTAAGCATTTTGCATTTTTGCCAGCTAAGGGTGAGAATTCTAGTTGTTTTGCGTTCTCATGAACACGGGGTGGCCAGTGTTTCTAACTGTAGACGTGGTAATAGGTGTGTCTTGGAATTTCATGGTTTAATTTGCATTTCCCTAATGGCTGAGGTTGAGTATCTTTTTTTTTTTTTTTTGAGACAGAATCTCGCCCTGTTGCCCAGGCTGGAATGCAATGGTGCAATCTCTGCTCACCACAGCCTCCGCCTTCCAGGTTCAAGCAATTCTCTGCCTCAGCCTCCCAAGTAGCTGGGATTACATACAGGTGCTCACCACCATGCCCGGCTAATTTTTGTATTTTTAGTGGAGAATGGGTTTTACTATCTTGGCCAGGCTTGTCTTGAACTCCTGGCCTCAAGTGATCTGCCTGCCTCTGCCTCCCAAAGTGCTGGGATTACAAGTGTGAGCCACTGTGTCCAGCTGCCTTCCGTATTTTTTGCAGAGTGGGGTGGGTCTCACTCTGTTGCCTAGGCTGGTCTTGAACTTCTAGCCTCAAGCAATCGTCCCACCTCAGCCTCCCAAAGTGCTGGGATTACCAGTGTGAGCTACTGCGATTGTCCAAATCAGGGATCTTTTCACAGCATGTCTAGCTTGTTACAGAACCCCAAAGTATCATTCATGCTCATCAGTGACTGAAATTACAGCAGTTGTGAGGGCTGCTATTAGAGCTTGGTATTTAAAGTGTTAATAAAGAAGCATGTATATTCCCACATCACCAGTTAAAAAAATATTTTGATTACTTTTTAATTGTATTGAGTATTTTGACTGAATTTCAGGATAATTGGTTTCCTTTGCAACTCTAGGTATTTAATTCTGTGCACTTTAAACATTATGCTGTGCAGAGCATAACAGTTCTCCCCAGACTGTCAGGGGCCTGAGGCACAAAAGAGATTAGAAACTCCTGGCTTAGAGCCTTTTAGGGGAAAGGTCAGCACTACAGAAAACTTTCTACCTTGCCAAATGCATGTTTTTTCTTATTAAAGGATCTTGAGGCAGGGTGCGGTCTCTCACGCCTGTAACCCCAGCTCTTTGGGAGGCTGAGGTGGGCAGATCACCTGCGGTCAGGAGTTCGAGACCAGCCTGGCCAACATGGTGAAACCCTGTCTCTACTAAAAATAAAAAAGTTAGCTGGGCATAGTAGTGGGTACCTGTAGTCCCAGCTACTCGGGAGACTGAGGCACGAGAATTGCTTGAACCTGGGAGGTGGAGGTTGCAGTGAGCTGAGATCACACCACTGCACTCCACCCTGAGTGACAGAGCAAGACTCTATCTCAAAAAACAAAAACAACAACAACAAAAGAAAAAAGATTTTGGGCTGAGGCAGGAGGATCACTTAGGCAACATAGCGAGACCCCTCATCTCTCCAAAAAAAAAAAAAAAAGGCCGGGCGCGGTGGCTCAAGCCTGTAATCCCAGCACTTTGGGAGGCCGAGGCGGGTGGATCACGAGGTCAAGAGATTGAGACCATCCTGGTCAACAAGGTGAAACCTCGTCTCTACTAAAAAAAAAAAAAAAAAAAAAATTAGCCTGGCGTGGTGGCATCCACCTGTATTCCCAGCCACTTGGGAGGCTGAGGTGGGAGGATTATTTGAGTCCAGGAGACTGAGGCTGCAGTGAGCTGTGATTGCCCCACTGCACTCCAGCCTCGGCAACAGATCAAGCTGCTCTCTAAGATAAATAAGAAATAAATACAGAATTTGGGGACAATGATTGAGATTCATTACTCAACATTCACATTAGTGAATTACTTTGCTTTTTTTTTTTTCCCTTTTTGAGACAGAGTCTCACTCTGTCACCCAGGCTGGAGTGCAGTGGCACAATCTTGGCTCACTGCAACCTCCACCTCCCGGGTTCAAGCTATTCTCCTGCCTCAGCCTCCCCAGTTGCGAGCTGGTATTATAGGTGCGTGCGGCTACACCTGGCTAATTTTTGTATTTTTAGTAGAGACGGGGTTTCACCATGTTGGCCAGGCTGGTCTCAAACTCCTCACCTCAAGTGATTCGCCTGCCTCAGCCTCTCAAAGTGCTGGGATTACAGGCAAGAGCCACCACACCCAGCCACTTTGCAGCCCCTTAATACTAGGCATGTAAGAGCCCCTCAATGTCCCAGCAAGTTTATTTCTTCTACCCCAAAGCGGCTAGAACTTTTCTAAGTTAGAAGTCCCCAACAGGGGCTAAGGTGAGCTCAGGAGGACAGAAAAGCCTTCCCTACAGCAGGAAGGCAAAGTCTCGATGGAGGTTGATTTTCAGTAGAAAGACCATAAAAAGAGGGTGACACCATCTCCCCTAAAAAAAAAGGAAAGAAAGAAAAAGAAAAATGTAACTGAAGTGCCTACCAGAAAGAACTGATTTTTATTTTATTTTGTATGCCAATTCCATTTATTTATTTATGAGACAAGTCTCGCTCTGTTGCTGGAGTGCAGTGGCATGATCTCGGCTCCCTGCAACCTCCACCTCCCGGGTTCAAGCAATTCTCCTGCCTCAGCCTCCCAAGTGGCTGGGATTACAGGCACCCGCCACCACGCTTGGATACTTTTAAAAATATTTTTAGCAGAAGAGGGGTTCCATCATGTTGGCCAGGCTGGTCTTGAACTCCTGACCTCAGGTGATTTGCCGGCCTCAGCCTCCCACAGTGCTGGGGTTACAGGCGTGAGCCACTCTGCCGGCCCAGTGGGTCCAAGTCTTGAGTCTGCCCCTGTTCTTCTGCCCAGCCCAAGCCTCAGCCCAGAGCCCCCTCTGTTCTTGTAAGAGTGGAATGGGGGCTTGCACTTGGCCTGGTATAGACCCCAAACCACCAGAGCACAGGGTCAGAAGGGCTCCAGCGACACCTGAATGGAGCTGCTGGAAGCAGAGGTGGCAGGGTGCTCTCCTGAGTGCTGAATTTGTTTTCTTCCCTCACCATGGTGGCAGCAGGGGGGCCCTGCTCTGTCACTTCCTGGTGATTTTGTGCACGGGGCCTGGGTGGCTGAAAGCCCTGGGAGCCGCCCAAGGGTGCTCGTGCCCCTTTTATGGGGAAGAGTCTGTGGGTGTCTCAGTTGTAGCCCTGAGAGCTTTAGATGCCCAGGGATCTGAAATATGCATCACTGGCCGGGCACAGTGGCTTGTGCCTATAATCCCAGCCTTTAGGGAGGTTGAGGTGGGTGGATCGCCTCCCATCCAGGATGGCTCAGGAGTTGGACACCACCCGCCTGGCCAACACGGTGAAACCCTGTCTCTACCAAAAAAAAAAAAAAAATTAGCTGGGTGTGGTGGTGCATGCCTGTAGTCCCAGATACTAGGGAGGCTGAAGTGGAAGGATAGTTGGCACTCGGTAAGTCGAAGCTGCAAGTGAGCCAAGATCATGCCACTGTACCTGTCTCAAAAAAGAAAGAAAAAGAAGAGGAAAGAAAGAAGAGAGAAAGACAAGAAAGAGAAGAAAGAGAAAGAGAAAGAAAAAAGGAAAGAAAGAAAAGGAAGGGAAGGAGAAAGAAAAGAAAGAAAGAAGAAAAAAGAAAGAGAGATGCCTCATTGGCCCAAGCTCTGTAAGGCCGTCCTGGGCAAGGGGACAGTGGGTCTGTGACCCCAGGTCTGGGGCGCTGGGGAGAAGGCAGATGTTTGGCTCGGCAGGAACAAGATCTTTCTTGAACACTGCCTGGGGACTAGGGTGCTGGGTCTGCCAGCAGGCAGTGTCTCGAGGGCCTGGGGTCATGGGAGCCACAGCTGGAACTCTACTTGTGGGTAGGTATGGGGTATGAATGGGACAGGGTGGGGTGGGGTGTGAATGGAGTGGAGCGCGGTGGTTGGGAGGGCTCTTTAAACTTCTTCTAAGTCTACGACCGAGCTGGGAGAGCCAGCCTCTTCCCCTGTCCAATCCCCTAAGGGCTAAGATGGAGACATCCTGCCCCGCCACCCTGTCCGCACCGCCATATATCACGCATCTGTCCAAAGACGCTTTTCGCTCCTAGTTGGGGCCCTGACTCCTCCGTCTGGCATACAAGGTCTCCGCATAACCTGGGCGTGCTCTCCATCCCCCACTGTTCCCTGAATGCCCGTCTTCTCTCTCCAGCACCCCTCATTGTTACCACCTGTCTCTCTCTCCCTCGCAGCTTCACTAAAGGCCCCTCCCGATCCCCCTGCTGTTGGACCCTCTTTTGGGTGCTGCCCGACGCCCCATGGGGAGTCCCTCAGCTGTCCCACCAGAGACAGAGCTTCACGGGACCTGACAGGTATCAGGCCACGCTGGGCTGGACGGGGGTCCCTGATGGACGGCGGTCTCTGAGTGTCCGCTCCGCAGTCCCCGACTCGGCTGCCTTCCCCGTGGGAGAAAGGACAACAGGAGAGCCGGGTGCAGTCCCTAAAACAGGCTTTTTAATAACATCGTGTCTTCACTGAAGAGCTTGGCGTGTCCCACCCGGGCGGCGCCGCGGGCTAGTAGAAGGAGTATTGGTTCTCCACGGCGCGGGCGCGGCCGGGCGTGGCCTCTGGGGGCTCCTCGGCGGCTGCGGCCACGGCCTCCAGCAGGCGTTCCGCGCTGTCGCTGCGGCTCCGCACGCTGAGCGGGCCCTCGACCGGGCGCGGAGGGGCCGGCCCCGATGCGGCCGAGGACGACGAGGTGGACGATGAGGAGGCGCCGGCGGCGTCGGAGGGCGAAGCGGGCGGGCAGGCGGCTGCGGCGAGGCTGGAGAAGTAGTGCTGGCCGGCCGGCTCGCTCCAGCAGGCCGGGGGCGCGGGCGCGGCGGGGGGCGCGGGGCCAGGCTCTGAAATGAGGCGGCAGCAGGGCGTGAGTGGGGGCTCGGGCTGGCCACACCCGGGAGGGAAGCCGGGATCGCTCAGGGGACCAGGGCCCACGTTCAGGTTTCCGGGTTGCAGCCCACGTCCTCGGACACACATGCACACACACCCGCACCGATGCATAAACAGGAGCACACACAGGCTTACAGGCACCTGCGCAGGCGCGCGCGCGCACACACACACACACACACCTAACCATGCGTGTGCACATGCATAAATGCACGCACACGCATGTGCACACACATGTACACATAAGACACGCTCGCACACACGCACACACACAAGCACATGCGCGCCATGCACGCATACACACGTGCATGTATACACACATGCGCACACACACCCGCACCGATGCATAAACAGCACACACAGGCTTACAGGCACCTGCGCAGGCGCACACATACATACCTAACCATGCGTGTGCACACACATGCACACATAAGACACATGGTCGCACACATGCACACACACAAGCACATGCGCGCCATGCACGCATACACACGTGCACGTATACGGACATGCACGCACACCCGCACTGATGCATAAACAGGAGCACACACAGGCTTACAGGCACCTGCGCAGGCGCACACACATACACATACCTAAACATGCGTGTGCAAGTGCAAATACACGCATGTGCACACACATGCAGAGGCACACGCTCGCACACATGCACACACACAAGCACCTGTGCGCCCATGCACGCATACACACGTGCACGTATATGCACATGCACACACACCCAAAGCGCGTGCACACACACGCACATGTACACATAATGCACACATTCGTACACAGGCACACACAAGCACATGCACGCCCACGCACACCCACAAGTGCGTGCACGCACACACTGCACATGCACGCACATGCACCCATGCCCTTAGTCGGTCCCAGCAGCTTTGCACTGAGCCTTCCTGGTGCAGGGCTTGGGAATCCATACCCCCAGCTCCTTCCATCCCCCACCCCACATCCCTGTCCCCTCCCGCATTCGCCCAACTGCACTGCTCTTGGGCGCCCCCTTCCCCTTTCCAGGAATCATTAGGGACAAGGCCGCCTCTGGGCTGCCACTTCTGCCTCTATTCCTGATGGCCTGACTGCTTGCAATGGCTGTGGCCAGGCTAGGGTGGGAGTGGCACGGCTGAGGCTATGGGACTGGAGACCTGCGGCTCATCCCACCCCAGGGGCCAGCTTCTTGAGTAATCAAACAAGCCAGGTGGTGGCATCTTACCTGGCGGGGGGCCCTGAGCCCGCACGTAGCTGCGGAGGGTGATGTCGGCCGAGCCCCCTGACTCTAGTGGGATGGGGTGCGTGTGGAAGTGGCGGAGCATGTCAAGCACAGACTGGAACCACAGGTGCTGCACGTGACACTGGCCGTGGCCGTTCAGGGACAGGCGCAGGTGCTGTGGGTACAGGTGGGTGTGGTCAGAGGCGGGGCTGGGGCTGGGCAGCTGGGTAAGCACCTTTGGGGGTTTATGGAAGGACCCAGGCTCACAGGGGCTGTGTGGGGCTGTGTCAGAGCTGGGGGCCCCTCTCACATGAGCCCCCTCTGGGGGTGGGGAATGGGGGCAATGGAGCCAGGTGGGACAGAAAGCATCAGGCATTGTCCCCACGCTGGGAGCACCCCCACTATGGGCCTATGCCCCACACACCTCTAATCTCTAATCCCTCCCCAACCCAGACGATAGTGATTACTACCCCCATGTTAGAGATGGGGAAACCAAGTCCCGGGAGCTGGGGTGACTTGCCCATGGTCTCAGAGCACAGAGCGGGGAAGAGAACTCCTGTTTGGGTGGTTCCCCCAGCCCAGGAGGCTAGAGGTTGGCCCTCTGTCTCTGCAGAGCCAAAACCCGGGGGCGTGGAGAGCTCCCCAGGGCCGGCATGAGGCAGGTGCCTCAGAGTAGGAAGCCGCCGGCCTGTGGTCTCCAGTGGTGAGCTGCAGGTCTCTGACTTAGCCCTAGTTTGCTCAACATGTATCCCACTGCAGAAAAAAGTGGCTGTCTCTGGGGTGGGTGTGCCAAGAGGGGAGCAAGAGGAGCGGTCTGAGGGTACACACGAGGCCCCAAGCCCAGGAGGGGGGCTGCTCTGGCCGCCTACATAAAAGACAGACAATTGGCCCGGCGAGGTGGCTCACGCCTGTAATCCCAGCACTTTGGGAGGCCAAGGCAGGCAGATCACAAGGTCAAGGGATCAAGACCGTCCTGGCCAACAGGATGACCATCTCTACTAAAAATACAAAAATTGGCTGGGCGTGGTGGCTCGCGCCCAGCAACTCAAGAGGCTGCAACTCAAGCCATTCTCCTGCCTCAGTCTCTTGAGTTGCTGTAATCCCAGCAACTCAAGAGGCTGAGGCAGGAGAATGGCTTGAACCTGGAAGGTAGAGGTTGCAGTGAGCCGAGATTGCACCACTGCATTCCAGCCTGGTGACAGAGCAAGACTCTGTCTCAAAAAAAAAAAAAAAAGAAAGACAGTTGGCCAGGCATGGTGGTTCATGCTTGTAATCCCAGCACTTTGGGTGGCTGAAGTGAGAGATCAATGGAGGTCAGGAGTTCGAGACCAGCCTGGCCAACATGGTGAGATTCTCCCTGTTTCTTTAAAAAACAAAAAATACAATCCTTGGAGCAGGGTGGTGGTCCCACAGTGAGCTCTGCCACTTAGCAGGGTAAGTTGCCAGGACAATGCAGGGACTCAGCCTAAGAGAAACAGCACAGAGGGGTCCCACCACAGCCTCACAGCTGGTCAGAGTCTGAGCAGGGCACAGCTGGGCCCCAAGGGTGAGGAGAAGCAAGGTGGGTGCATCCTGATCTGCCAGACCTTCTAGATGTTTACTCCGTGAAGGTAGAAAGAGTTGCCTCTAGGAAGGTAGTGATCTTCCCACCCAGGAGGTATGTAAGCGGGAGGCTGCGGTTCCTGCTTTATCCCACCAGCCAATTATCAGGCCTGGGGCCGTCATGTCCACTCTGGGAGAAGAGCAGCCAGGTAGACAGGTGAGAGGCAGGTTCAAGGCTGGGTCTTGTTCCAGGAAGGAGAGGAGCTCCCCGCCCACCCTGTGTTCTCCCATCCTAGCCTCTGGCTCGGGCATGAGTCAGATCCAGGTTCTCTGGAGGCTGCCTGGAGTAGCACTGGCCGAGAAATAGACTGCACGTCACCAGCGATGGCCTTAAGGGCCTGGTTGTCTGAGGAACTGGTAAGAGTGGCTGCTTCCCTGGGGCAGGTGCTACCTTCTGCATGGTGGGGCCAGCCCGGGGAGGAGAGAAGCCACTAGAGGGCCCACACTGGGCCACTAGGGCTTAGGGCAGCTGGCGTCCCAGCAGAGAGACAGTGTCCCCCAGCTGCAGGCTTGGAGCAGGAGTCTGGGAGTTCTCCTGCCTCTAGTAGGGGCCGCCAGGAAATCCGTCCTGGCAGGAGCCCGGGCTGAGCGTTTCCTTATCGGAAACCTGGGATGCAGGGGGCAGGCACTGAGGTTCCTGCCTTCTCTGTCCACACTGTACCCTCCCATAATCGTTTGGCTTTGCTGTCAAATTTTCCTTGGAATTTTAGGTCAATAGGCCAGGTGCAGTGGCTCAGGCCTGTAATCCCAGCACTTTGGGAGGCCGAGGTGCATGGATCACCTGAGTCAGGAGTTCAAGACCAGCCTGGCCAACATGGTGAAACCCCGTCTCTACTAAAAATACAAAAATTAGCCAGGTGTGGTGGTGCATGTCTGTAATCCCAGCTATTTTGGAGGCTGAGGCAGGAGAATCGTTTGAACCCAGGAGGCAGAAGTTGCAACATGTTGAAACTGAACCATTGCACTCCAGCCTGGAGGACAGAGTGAGACTCCGTCTCAAAAACACAAAAACAAAGCATTTGAGGTCAACGTGGCCTGCAATCCTCTTCCCTGAGCCCGCCGCCTGGGTGTACCTTCATACCTCCAATCCAGCTGGGTGCTGTCAGGATTGCCCTTCCCGCCTGTCTTCCCCTCCACAATTCTCCCTCCCCTGCAGATCTGAGGTCAGGGTGTGCCCTCCAATGCTGAGCCCCGCCCCAGGCCCTGCACAGCCCTCCCACCCAGCCCAGCTCCTCCTCCCCTGCTGGGTCTGTAGGGTTTGGCCACGTGGGTTTCTCAGGGGTTGTGACCTGACTTGGACAGGGAAGAAGAGGGGCGGTCTGGGGTGGGTAGGGCTCTGAGGGCCTTGGTTGGCTCCAGACCTGCAGAGGGGAGTCTCTGGGTGGAGACCCTCAGAAGCTCCAGTGCTATGAGATCTCCCTCACACAGGGGCTGAGAGGACTTGCAAATTTGGGTTCTTAGAGAGGCTCAGCTGCCGGTTCCCCATCTGGGGAATGGAGAATGTGAATCAGGGCTGACTGCAGTTCCACAGTGATGGGTAGGAGAGTCACAGGTGGCTCACGGAGCATGGAAGTCATGCCACACCTGTTCACCTGCAGCTGCTCCCGGGACACAGCCTCAGGACTGGGGTCACCACGGCCCCGCTCCCCCAGGGCTGGGTACTGCACCCCTGTGGGCCCCCCATGCACACTTGCCTTGGCCTTGCCCTGGAAGTTGAAGGTCAGCACATACTCCCCAGGCCGAGTCTCACTTTGACGGATCACGAAGAGGCCGTGGTTCCGGGGCCCCCCGGCCAGAACCAGCTGAGCAGCCCTGACCCGGGACAGCGTTCCGTGGAACCAGGGGTAGTCGCACAGCTCCAGCTCGGGCTCAGCTTCAGCATCTGTCTCTGCACCCTCCTCCCCTGAGGCGGGATCACAGTGTGAGGAACATGGCGGGGACAAATAAATGTAAGAAGAGAGGCGGCATCTTGTTGGTTTTTTACATGCAAAACGGAGTTGGAATCATTTTAAAAATTTATGTTGGTTTTACGTACAGTCATGTACCACTATGGCAGGCTAATTTTTGTATTTTTAGTAGACATGGGGTTTCACCATGTTGCCCAGGCTGGTCTTGAACTCCTGAGCTCAAGTAATCTGCCTGTCTTGGCCTCCCAAAGTGCTGGGATTATAGGCGTGAGCCACTGCGCCCAGCCGAAAATTTTTTTTTTTTTTTTTTTTTTTTTGAGACAGAGTTTCGCTCTTGTTACCCAGGCTGGAGTGCAATGGCGCGATCTCGGCTCACCGCAACCTCCACCTCCCGGGTTCAGGCAATTCTCCTGCCCCAGCCTCCTGAGTCGCTGGGATTACAGGCACGCGCCACCATGCCCAGCTAATTTTTTATATTTTTAGTAGAGACGGGGTTTCACCATGTTGACCAGGATGGTCTCGATCTCTTGACCTCGTGATCCACCCGCCTCGGCCTCCCACAGTGCTGGGATTACAGGCTTGAGCCACCGCGCCCGGCCTCCAGCCAAAAAATTTTATTTATTTAACTTATTTTTTGAGGTAGGGTCTTGCTCCGTCACCCAGGCTGAAGTGCAGTGGCACAATCATGGCTCACTACAGCCTTGACCTCCTGGGCGGAAGCAATCCTCTCACCTCAGCTTCCTGGGTAGCCACGATGCCTGGCCAATTTTTGTTTAGTTTCTGTAGAGACAGGGCCTTGCTTTGCTGTCCAGACTGGAAGTCCTGGGCTCAAGCAATCCTCCTGCCTTGGCTTCTTGAAGTGCTAAGATTACAGGTGTGAGCCATTGTGCCCAGCCAGAATAATTTTAGAATCAGGCAGGGAGCTGACTCAACCTAATGGTGAAGAATATGAGGTAAACTGAGGCACGGAGCTGTGAAGGACTATCTTGGAGTTGCTCTGTACGTCATCAACAAACCTGGGAACAAATCCAGTCTGCTGTTCCCAACCCCCAATTCCAACCCTCTGTACCCTTTTCTGTGAGCATCTTTCCCTCCCTCCCTCCCTTCCTTTTTTTGAGACATGGTCTCTCTCTGTTGCCCAGGCTGGAGTGAATGGTGTGATCACAGCTCACTGCAGCCTCAACCTCCTGGGCTCAAGTGATCCGCCCACTTCGGCCTCCCAAGTAGCTGGGACTATGGGCACATGCCAACGTGCCCAGCTAATTAAAAACATTTTTTTGTGGCCAGGCGTGGTGGCTCATGCCTGTAATTCCGCACTTTGGGAGGCCGAGGTGGGCGGATCACTTGAGATCAGGAGTTCAAAACCAGCCTGGCCAACATGGTGAAACCCTGTCTCTACTAAAAATACAAAAATGAGCCGGGTGTGGTGGTGGGTGCCTGTAATCTCAGCTACTCGGGAGACTGAGATGTGAAAATCGCTTGAACTGGAGGGTGAGAGTTGAAGAGCCATGATCCGCCACTGCACTCCAGCGTGGGCAACAAAATGAGACTCTGTCTCAAACGTTTTGTACAGATAGGGTCTTGTTACGCTGCCCAGACTAGTCTCAAATTCCTGGCTTCAAATGATCCTCAGTCTCACAAAGCACTGGGTAGGATTACAGGTGCGAGCCACTGCACCCAGCCCCTGTGAGCATTTTCTTTTCTTTCTTTCTTTTCTTTTTTTTGAGACAGAGTCTCACTCTGTCACCCAGGCTGGAGTTCAGTGGCTTGATCTCAGCTCACTGCAACCTCCACCCCCTGGCTTCAAGTGATTCTCCTGCCTCAACCTCCCGAGTAGCTAGGATTACAGGTGTGCACCACCATGCCCAGCTAATTTTTGTATTTCTAGTAGAGACAGGGGGGCCAGGCTGGTCTCAAACTCCTGACCTTAGGTGGTTCATCCACCTCATTGGGGTTACAGGCGTGAGCCACTGCACCCAGCTCCTGTGAACATTTCCTATCAAAACACTTGGTCCAGTGGGAGGGGCCAGGTTTTTAGACCAGTCTACAAAAGCCAGAAGTACTTCAGAGCTATGTGAAGGACCCAGGGACATGAGATGTCACCGCTTCTGAGGCTCATCAACGTTTTGGAGGGAGCCCACGGGTGGCCATGGCTGGGGTGGCGTCCAGGAGAGGTGGGGTGGGAAGATCAGGCTGTCCCCACTGGCACCTGTGTTATTGCTGTCGCTGCCGCTGCCGCTGCCGCCTGGGGATTCCAGGGTCTGCAGGAAGGTCTCTAGCGGGACATGGATCAGGGACTCTCTGATGGCATCTCGACCTCGGCTGTGGGGGGCTGTCACCACGGCTCCCACGGCTGTCGTCTCTGGGGGCCGGGGCGGGTCGGCTGCTGGAGAAGTAGCAGGTAAGAAGCACATATCTTTATCCGTACACCCTGAGTGTGCACCTCCTCCAACCTGTCTGCCTACCTACCGTCCGTCAGGAGCTCACAGCTGCAGGAGGCCACGCGGCTGGCCAGACAGCCTCCTCGGGAACAGGAGAGCTCAGTGTCTTCCTCACTGTCACTGTGAAGACAAGAAATGGAAGCCACGTCCTGCTGTGGGACTCGGACGTGGACCATGGGCTGCTTCCATGGCCAGGCAGTGGCTGACAGTACCGTGGCCAGCAACCAGCTCTCCTGCCTCTGGTCACCTCCCTCTGCCTCCACGTCCCTCTGTCCCACTCTCCGCTGGCTCTGTTGCCACCATGTGATTGACCAGGCCACTCTTGGGGCTCAGAAAACAATACCCCAAAATAAAGTCCTCAGCAGCAGCCTCAGAAACAAAGTTTTGCAGGGTGCGGTGGCTCACTCCTGTAATCTCAGCACTTTGAGAGGCTGAGTGGGTAGATCACGAGGTCACCAGTTTGAGACCAGCCTGACTAACATGGTGAAACCCCATCTCTACTAAAAATACAAAAATTAGCTGGGTGTGGTGGCATGTGCCTGTAATCCCAGCTACTCTGGAGGCTGAGGCAGGAGAATCGTTTGAACCTAGGAGGTGGAAGTTGTGGTAAGCCAAGATCATGCCATTGCACTCCAGCCTGGGCGACAGAGCCAGACTCTGTCTCAAAAAAAATAGTTTGTCACCGGGCGCGGTGGCTCACGCCTGTAATTCCAGCACTTTGGGAGGCTGAGGTGGGCGGATCACCTGTGGTCAGGAGTTTGAAACCAGCCTAACCAATATAGTGAAACCCCATCTTTAAAAAAAAAAAATATAGTTTTTCTCTGACCTTCTCCTGCCTACTGTCTCTCAGTCCTCTTCTCCTCAGATACACCAGAGAAATGAAAGTCCTTTCCCAAGGCAGGTCGCAGAAGCCAGAACCCCTTTTTCCAAAATGTAGCCCTAAAACCTAAAAATATTCTTTTTTTTTTTTTTTTTTTTGAGACGGAGTCTTACTCTGTCACCTGGGCTGGAGTGCAGTGGCATGATCTTGGCTCACTGCAACCTCTGCCTCCTGGGTTCAAGCAATTCTCCAGCCTCAGCCTCCAGAGTAGCTGGGATTACAGGTACCCACCACCACATCTGGCTACATTTTTTTGTGTTTCTAGTAGAGATGGGGTTTCACTGTACTGGCCAGGCTGGTCTCGAACTCCTGACTTCATGATCCACCTGCCTTGTCCTCCCAAAGTGCTAGGATTGTAGGCGTGAATCACTGCACCTGGCCAACCTAAAAATATTCTAGGTAAAAACTTGTCATAAAGAAATTATCCAGCCAGGCATGGTGGCTCATGTTTGTAATCCCAGCACCCTGGGAGCCGAGGTAGGAGGATCACTTGAGGCCAAGAGCTTGGGATCAGCTTGGGCAACATACTTAGACCCCTATCTTTTTTTTTTTTTTTTTTTTTTTAGGATGGAGTCCTGTTCTGTTGCCCAGGCCCCAGTGCAGTGACGCGATTTCAGCTCACTGCAACCTCTACCTCCTGGGAGTGATTCTCCTGCCTCAGCCTCCGGAGTAGCTGGGATCACAAGCATGCGTTATCATGCTCAGCTAATTTTTTTGGGTGTGTGTGTTTTTAGTAGAGACAGGGTTTCACCACGTTGGCCAGGCTGGTCTCGAACTCCTGACCATAGTTGATCCGCCTTCCTTGGCCTCCCAGAGTGCTGGGATCACAGGTGTGAGCCACCGGGCCTGGCTGAGAGATCCCTGTTTAATAAAAAAAAATTAGCTGGGCCTGGTGGTAAGGCAGGAGGATCAATGGAGCCCAGGAGTTGGAGGCTGCAGTCAGCTGTGATTATGCCACTGCCCTCCAGCTTGGGCAAGAGTACGAAAAAAATAAATAAATAAATAAATAAAAAGAAGGAAAGGAAAGAAAGAAAGAATTACCCAACCTACGGGTTTGAATGTAGGTCATCAGAGCCCCATTCAAGAAAGGGTTCTGTCCCACACCCAGAAGGAAGAAATGCTTCTCAGGGAGGCCAAGAAGAATCTGGACAGACAGGCCTGGCTGGGTCCCCTGCTCAGCCTATTCCCATTAGATCCTGACCTTTGTGTCTACACAGCTGTCTATACTTTCTGAACCTGAGCGTAACAATAGACGGTTTCCCCTATATCTCTTTTTTTTTTTAAGCTGGAGTCTCGCTCTGTTGCCGAGGCTGGAGTGCAGTGGTGGGATCTCGGCTCACTGCAACCTGTGCCTCCCGGTTTCAAGCGTTTTCCTGTCTCAGCCTCCTGAGTAGCTGGGATCACAGGGGCCCACCACCACACCACATTAATTTTTGTATTTTTAGTAGAGACGTGGTTTTGTCATGTTGGCCAGGCTGGCCTTGAACTCCTGACCTCATGTGATCCGCCTGTCTCAGGCTCCCAAAGTGCTGGGGTTACAGGTGAGAACCACCCCGCCTGGCCCTCCCTTGGATCTTTGAGTCTTCATTCTGAAGGCTCCCGTGTATACACGTTAAATACATTTATATGCTCTTTCTCCTATTAATCTGCTTTGTGTAGCTAAGCACACTGGCCCATGCCTGTAATCCCAGTGCTATGGGAGGCTGAGGCAGGCAGGTCTCTTGAACCCAGGAATTCAAGACCAGCCTGGGCAACATAGCAAGATCCCACCTCTTTTTTTTTTTTTTAAAGACGGGGTTTCACCATGTTGGTCAGGCTGGTCTTGAACTCCCAACCTAGGGTGATTCGCCCCCCCTTGGCCTCCAAAGTGCTTGGATTACAGGCGTGAGCCACCACGCCCGGCTGCAAGATCCCATCTCTAAAAAATAAAAATAAAAATTAGGCAGGGGGCAGTGGCTCTTGCCTGTAATCCCAGCACTTTGGGAGACTGAGGCGAATGGATCACCTGAGGTCAGGAGTTTGAGACCAGCCTGGCCAACATAGTGAAACCCCATCTCTACTAAAAATACAAAAATTAGCTGGGCATGGTGGCAGGCACCTGTAATCCCAGCTACTTGGGAGGCTGAGGCAGGAGAACTGCTTGAACCTTGGAGGCAGAGGTTGTAGTGAGCTGAGATTGTGCCATTGCACTCCAGCCTGGGAGACAGAGTGAGACTCCACCTTAAAAAAAAAAAAAAAAAAAAAAAAAAGCCAGCCATCGTGGCATGCGCCTACAGTCCCAGTTACTTGGGAGGCTGAGGTGGGAGGACTGCTCGAGCCCAGGAGGTTGAGGCTGCAGTGAATTGTGGTCGAACCACTGTACTCCTGCCTGGCCAACACAGCAAGACCTTACCTCTGAAAAATAAAATAAAATGCCGGGTGTAGTGGCTCACATCTGTAATCCCAGCACTTTGGGAGGCCAAAGCAGGTGGATCAAAGGTCAGGAGATGGAGACCATCCTGGTCAACACAGTGAAACCCCATCTCTACTAAAAATACAAATAATTTGCTGGGCGTGGTGGTGGTTGCCTGTAATCCCAGCCACTCAGGAGGCTGAGACGGGAGACTCACTTGAACTTGGGAGGCAGAGGTTGCAGTGAGTGGAGACCGTGCCACCACACTCCGGCCTGGGCAACAGAGCAAGATTCCATCTCAAAAAATAAATAAATAAATAAATAAATGTATGCCTTTTCTCTTATTTATCTGCCTTTTACAAACTGATTTTCCACTGAAACTTCAGAAGCCCAAGGGGAAGGCTCTCTCTAGGCCCCTATACCACCAAGTGGGTACAGTCCCCACTGAGGCCCCGTGACCCCTGCCCACTATCCCTGAGGGGCGAGGCTCCCCCTGGGATCCCGTGGGAGACCCTCAGAAACGATGGGAAGGTTTCTCTCCTCATGTGACACAAGGTATATGGGACCCTGCCAGCCCTAAAATTCCACAAAGTGAGGTTTACCTTCACAGGGGCTGGGGAAAGCGCGGGCAGAGCAGATGGTCCGGAGGGCTTTGGAGGAGGAGGGATTACAACCACTTTGTGCTCGGGACCGTAATTGTGTTTCTTTAAATGAAGCTGTTAATTAGAAAGCAGCGGCCCCTCCCCCCGGGGCTTGGCTCGCCCCATTAGCGGGCAGAGCTGCTGCCAATTGCTCAGCCTGTCAGGCCGCCTGTCCATCCTACTCCTGGCCTGGCATCTCTCCTGGACAGTGGAGCCAACCTTTCCGTTGATTTTCCTGTACACAGCTGACCGTAACTGCCCTCTGCTTGTTACCTGCCATGGCTCCCATTGTCCCTGACCTACCCATTAACTGAGCTCTCATCAAACTCTCCTCCTCACTGGCTACCCCAAAGCCCTTGATATTCCCTGCAAGTCCCAGGTGCCTGTATACTTCCACACCTTTTAAAAGTGGTATTATTTTTTGAGACAGAGTCTTGCTCTGTCACCCAGGCTGGAGCACAGTGGCGCCATCTCGGCTCACTGAAACCCCCCCATCCCAGGTTCAAGTGATTCTCCTGCCTCAGCCTCCTGAGTAGCTGGAATTACAGACATGCACCACCACACCTGGCTAATTTTTGTATTTTTAGTAGAGACGGGTTTCACTATGTTGGCCAGGCTGGTCTCGAACCCCCACCTCAGGTGATCCACCCACCTCAATCTCCGAAAGTGCTGAGACTACAGGTGTGAGTCACCAGGCCTGGCCCCGGCCAAATTTTTATTATTATTATTATTACTATTTTTTTTTTTTTTTGGGATGGAGTTTCGCTCTTGTTACCCAGGCTGGAGTGCAATGGCGCGGTCTTGGCTCACTGCAACCTCCGCCTCCTGGGTTCAGGCAATTCTTCTGCCTCAGCCTCCTGAGTAGCTGGGATTACAGGCACGCACCACCATGCCCAGCTAATTTTTTTTATTTTTAGTAGAGACAGGGTTTCACCGTGTTGACCAGGATGGTCTCGATCTCTTGACCTCGTGATCCACCCACCTCGGCCTCCCAAAGTGCTGGGATTACAGGCTTGAGCCACCGCGCCCGGCCCTTATTATTATTTTTTAAGAGTTAGGGTCTCACTCTGTTGCCCAGGCTGGAGTGCAGTGGCGCAATCCTAGATCACTGCAGACTCTGACTTCTGGGCTCAAGTGATCCTCCTGCCTCAGCCTCCTGAGTAGCTGGGAAAACAGATACATGCCACTGTGCCCAGTTCCATTTCCACTCTTTTTGCTGCGCTGTTCTTTCTGCCCTCTCCCATCCTTCTCTGCCTGGCATAGGTCTACTCTTTATTTAAGCCTCAGTTTAAGTGACCATGCCTACCAGCAAGCCTTCCCTGAGCCCAGGGCTGGCTTAGGAGCCTCTCCCCAGTTCTTTTTTTTATTTTAAGAGATAGGGTTGGCTGGGTGCAGTGGCTCACGCCTGTAATCCCAGCACTTTGAGAGGTGGGTGGATCACTTGAGGTCTGGGGTTCAAGACCAGCCTGGCCAACATGATGAAACCCCGTCTCTACTAAAAATAAAAAAATTAGCTGGGTGTGGTGGCACGTGTCTGTAATCCCAGCTACTTGGGAGGCTGAGGCTGGAGAAGTGCTTGAACCCGGGAGGCGGAAGTTGCAGTGAGCTGAGATTGTGCAGTGGTGCACTCCAGCCTGGGCGACAGAGCAAAACCGTCTCAAAAAAAAAATAAAAAAAGAGAGAGGGTCTGGCTATATGTTACCCAGTCTGGTCTTGAACTTCTGAGCTCAAGCGATCCTCCCAGCTCAGCCTTCCAAAGTGTTGGGATCACAGACGTGAGTCACTGCGCCCGGCACCCAGCCCTTTGGGGACTCATTCCCATCTCTGCCCAACTCCCAGTGCTCTGAGGAGTTGGAAAGTCCTCTGGAAAGGACTTGGTCCAACTCCTTTCCAGGTCCCCAGGCCCTGGGCCCACAGAGCAGGCCCTGCAGAGTCTGCTGGGGATTGGAGGTGAGGGGGATTTTAAAGCAGGGGTGATCCTGGCTGGCACCAAGCTGAATCGCACTGAATCGCACTGAATTGCTCATTTCTCAAGCTGAGCTCCTGCCCTGTTAGGAAGCTACTCCTGGTGAAGGCTGGACCAAGGACACACCCAGCCCGTCCACCCATCCTCGGGCCGCTTGGACACTTACCCAGGGTTCACACAGCCCTGGATGTCAGCGACCCACGAGTGCTTCTGCAGAGAGTCGATGGTCTCCAGGATGTACTCAGCTCCATTCTCTACCTGGGAAGGAAAGTGGCCAGGAGACCAGAACACGGTCAGCAGACGGGCTCCGGACCACAGGGCATAGGGCCAGAGTGGCTCAAACGGCTCATCCCCCCCTCCCACAGCAGGGTTCAAGGGCATGTGCAGCAGGAAGGACAGTGGGGTCGCCATCGGGCACCACCCAGAACACAGGCCAGGGACCCAGGGGTACAGCCTGTAGCTCACACTCTGCCTCCCTCCCTCCTGGGCCTTCCCACTGGGGATATGTTCCGCCCCACTGACCTCAGCTCCTCCGCCTTGGAGATGCAGCCTCTGAGGAGGCCATGCTGGCGGGGGAGGGATGGGTGATCCAGCATCCCCAACCCACGGCCTGGCACCCCAGGGATGGGGTTCAAGTTGCGTGGAGAGGCAGGCTGGCCAAGCACACTAAGTTGTAGGGCTGGTGTGTCTGAGTGCCTGGAGTTGTACTACCATGGCCATGCGCTTGAGATAAGCAGAATCTGCAGGGGGGGAGGGCAGCGCGACACTCCTGCTGGGGCCAGGCCCAGAGCGTAACTCTGCACTCTGCTGGACTCCTCCCAATGGCCCTGTGAGGGAGGGGAGCCATTTCTCCCATTTTACAGACGAGAAGACCAAGGTTCAGAGAGGTCAAAAGCTTGCTCAAAGTCACAAAGCAGCCAGTGGCAGGTCCGGGGCCTGAACCCAGGTCTCTGGGACGCCCAGGCCCCGTGCTGTCGGCTTCTGGTTCTGTGCCTCTGTCAAAATGCAGTTGTGGGGCTGGGCAAGGTGGCTCACGCCTGTAATCCCAGCACTTTGAGAGGTTGAGGCGGGTAGATGTCTTGAGCTCAGGAGTTCGAGACTAGCCTGGGCAACATGGTGAAACCCTGTCTCTACCAAAAATACAGAAATTAGCCAAGCATGGTGGCATGTGCCTTTGGTCCCGGCTACTCAAAAGGCTGATATGGGAGGATCGCCTGAGCCCGGGAGGCGGAGGTTGTAGTGATCACTCCACTGCACTCCAGCCTGGGTGACAGAGTGAGACCCCATCTTCAAACAAACAACCAACCAAAAAAGGTCATTGTTGGACTCCTAGGATGACAGAGCTGGGAGGGTTCTCAGAGATTGCCTTTAATGCCTCTCTAAACAGATGGGGAAAGTGAGGCAGGTGAGCCCCTCTGCCTCAGGACTGTCTGCATGATCAGCAGCTGAGAGGGTACCCGGTGGGCGGGGACTGTGTCCCCAGCCCCCAGCCTGGCATGACTCAGGGTCCGGGGTTGGTAAACACTCGCTAAATGAATAAGTGAGTCTGTGACTAAACAAATGGGAATGGGTCAAAACACAAACACAACCAGATGCCTGGAGAAGAGGGTGGGGGCTTCATGCAGGGTGAGTGGGTGGGACCAGGCCTCCCCAGGGCACTGCTTCACCAATACCCTCTGATCCTTTTCGGAGGTCCAGGGACCACAGCCCTGGCAGCCTGGAGCTGTGTCCTCAGAAACCCCTGCAGGCCACCCTGGTGGCAGTGTGGGGCCTGGGAAAAGGATGGGCTGCCCCTAGACCCACCAGGGTGCCACCCCGCCCACTCTCGGTGCCTTTGTGCCCTCCGTGGGAGACCAGGCCGCTTCCCACACTGAAGTACCCTGGGATGGGAACATTTGTATAACTGTTGCCGGCTGGCCACCAGTGGGGTGGGTGTGTGCTGGCTCCAGTTGGGGAAGAGAGGGCAGGAAGTGAAACTCATGAGCTTCTCCCAGCCCAGGGGTAAACCGGAGCAAGGGGCCCAGATGTTGGGCAACACCCAGGGAGCTGAGATTCAAGTCTTAGCTGTGTGCTAGCCATCTGTCATAGGGTCTGGGGACCCCCAAGAGCAGGGCTCCCTCCCACTGCCATCCTGCCTTAGGCTTCTTCTCCTCAATCCTCTACAGAGCTGTAGCACCTACAGGGGAGGTGGCCTGGGGCAGCCGGAGGATCTTCGGGGTTAGGGGCGAGACCTCACCTTGAGCACAAACGTGTTGTCCTTCTCTGGCATTTCCAGGGGCATGGTGGTGCGGACCTCAATGATGGCCGACAGTGGGATGCTGACCTTGGGCCTGGAGGCCTGGGGGCCAGAAGGACAGTGAGTGGTCCCAGCACTTCCTCACACCCTCTCTACGCCCTCCCTGCTGCCAGGCGTCAGGGCAGCCCTTAAATAGACTGCCACGGTCATGCTGGTACAGAGGTGGCCCGATCCCCACGTCACAGATGGGGAAGTTGAGGAAGGCATTTCTTTGAAACAAAGGACCTTTTCCTGGCTAGGTGTGGTGACTCTTGCCTATAATCCTAACACTTTGGGAGGCCAAGGCAGGAGGATGGCTTGAGTCCAGGAGTTCAAGACCAGCCTGGGCAACAAAGCCAGACCTTATCTTTACTCAAGATGAAGAAGCTCAGCCGGTGTGGTGATGCGTGCCTGTAGTTCCAGCTACTTGAGAGGCTGAGGTGGAAGGATGGCTTGATCTGGGGAGGTGGGGGCTGCAATGAGCTATGACGGCACCATTATATTCCCGCCTGGGTGACTGAGCGAGATCCTGTCTCAAACACAAACAAACAAAATGACCACCTCCTCCTGCAGTCACCCAGCAAGTCCGGGACAGAACCAGATCTGAGAAGCCCTGAGGAGTGAACCCCACCTGGGCTGCCCTCTGCCCAGTGCACCCACGAGATCTGTGGTTTTCATGTTTTCACCTTGACCCGTTGTGAGAAATACATTTAACACTGGGCCCAGTACACACATACATAGGTAAAAATACATCCGAAACAAAAGTCTCACCAGATGAGAATTACCCTTCCTGCGTGTGGCGGGGTGTGATGTTTTCTATTCTATTCTAGTTCACTTTTTAAAAAATGCTGGTCTTGACTGGGTGTGGCGGCTCACGCCTGTAATCCCAGCACTTTCAGAGGCGGAGGCAGGCAGATCCCTTGAGGTCAGGAGTTTGAGACTAGCCTGGGCAACATGGTAAAACCCCATCTCTACTAGAAATACAAAAATTAGCCAGGCGTGGTGGTGCTTGCCTGCAGTCTCAGCTACTTGGGAGGCTGAGGCAAGAGAACGACCTGAACCCACGAGGTGGAAGATTCAGTGAGCCGAGATTGCGCCACTGGACCCCAGCCTGGGTGACAGAGTGACACCCTGTCTCAAAAAAATAAAATAGCCTGGCACAGTGGCTCAGGCCTGTAATCCCAGCACTTTGGGTGGTTGAGGCAGGCGGATCATGAGGTCAGTGGTTTGAGACCAGCCTGGCCAACATGGTGAAACCCCGTCTCTACTAAAAATACAAAAATTAGCTGGGCGTGGTGGCAGTCACCTGTAATCCCAGCTACTCGGGAGGCTGAGGCAGGAGAATTGCTTAAACCTGGGTGGTGGAGGGTGCAGTGAGCTGAGATCGTACCCACTGCACTCCAGCCTAGGTGACAGAGCAAGACTCTGTCTTGGAAAAAAAAAATTGAAAAAATAAAAAATAAAATCGGCTGGGCACGGTGGCTCACGCCTGTAATCCAAGCACTTTGGAGGACAAGGTGGGCGGATCACCTGAGTCCGGAGTTCAAGACCAGCCTGACCAACATGGTGAAACCCTGTCTTTATAAAAAAATAAATAAAAATAAATAAAATAAAAAATAAAAACGAATAAAAATGGTCTTAAAACCTGGTGGCTTATAAAAAAATAAAAAAAGAAAGAAAAAGAAAAAATGCTGGTCTCGTACTACAGACCAAACCTTCCAGAGAGGGCCCTGGAGCCCCTAACTCAGAACGGGACTTGATGTTTCCCGGAGTGAGTAAAAGGGACCAGTGTTCCCAACAGCTCTGCGGGCAGGGTTGATCCAAGGTGAGCTGGCAGGGCTGTGTGGGATGGCCACTCTGTGCCTGGTCCCACTGACTCTGCCTCAAAGCTCCCTGCAGTAAACCTGAGCCCCCCTCCCCCATGCCTCGTCCCCGGGAGCCGGCCTGAGTCTGGGATTTCCAGCAGGGCTCTGTCTCTAGGACAGGACAGGGACTTTCTTAGGAGGAAAAGGAAGGGCCACACATTTGATGGGCAGGCAGACGGGAATTCCAGGAAGCACTGGCCCCTGTCCAGTGGGTGCAGGGCTGGGCTTGGAGCATGAATGGGGCCTGCCTGACACTGGTGTGTGGCCGTCATGCCGGCCAGCAGGGCCGGGGACAGAGCAGACGGAAGTCTGCTGTGGAGGCCTGGACTGGAAGCTTCAGCAGGGCTCCTGCTGGCCAGAGATGCTGTGGTTCCCCAGCTTGGAATCAGAGGTCCACCTGTCCTGGTCCAGCTTCCTCCCAGCTGCTCCAGCCACAACTCACTGTGCCTACATCCCTGAATGGTCAACTGGCATTACAACTCCAGGCCTTTGCCCACAGAGCTGACACCTCCAGAAGTGCCTGTTCCAGGGTCCTGGCCACTTAGGCAGCCACAACTTTTCGTCCTTGGGGCCCTAGAACACCCAGCGTTCACTCCACTAGGATTTCTGGTTTTTTTTGTTTTTGGTTTTTTTTTTTGAGATGGAGTCTCCCTCTGTCACCAGGCTGGAGAGTGCAGTGGTACGATCTCGGCTCACTGCAATCTCTGCCTCCCAGGGAGGCGGAGGGGATTCTCCTGCCTCAGCCTCCTGAGTAGCTGAGACTACAGGTGCCCACCACCACACCCAGCTAATTTTTGTATTTTTAGTAGAGACAGGGTTCTGGCATGTTGGCCAAAATGGTCTTGAACTCTTGACCTCAAGTGATCCACCCGCCTTGGCCTCCCAGAGTGCTCGGATGACAGGTGTGAGCCGCCAAGCTTGGCCGACCCCACTAAGATTTGCAAGCCTCCTGAAAATACCAGGTTTCCCAGTGGCTTCCCTGATGGCATGGGGCTGGCGTCATTGCTCCTTGGGTCCCCAGGGCTGGCCTGGCATAGGGCAATGAGGGGACCTGGGTTCAGGGGCTCTTCCTGCAGAGGTGAGGAGGGAGGAAGCCAGAGGCCCGACTCACCACAGCTGGCACCTCAAAGGCTGTGTGAGACGGACATCTAAGGTGCCAGGCCATGGCCCCTGAGCCCGCAGGCCTCGAGATCCTGACTGCTCCAAGGGTGCAGCTAGGCCTCTCAGGGGCGAGAGATCCGGACTGTGAGTGGGTGCAGAGGCAGTGGGGGTGTCATTAGGGCCATCCCAGCGGGCTCACTCACCCTGGGAGCTGGCCTCCTGGGACCAGACACATTTGGAAAACTCAACCGAACTCCTACCATGGAAGGAGCTACCCACCCATGGGACTGACTCCTGAATACCCACAAGTGCCCCCACCTTTGCATGATGCAAGGAGGGGAAGGGCCCGGTGACCCCACAGGAACGCTGCCCTCTGCCAGCAGCAAAGTCAGCAGCTCCGCCGGGACTAAGGGGCAGCCACCAGCAGCTGCCTCCCCTCCCCCGAGGGTGGCAGACGCTGCTATTTACAGAAGGGCAGCTGTGACTGCTACTCAGGGCTGAGGCACTGGAGCCCCGGCCCTCTGTCCCTGCCCTCTGGGTGACCCTGGGTAAGCCCCACCCCACCCGTTACTGGGTCTCGGTCTCCCTGTCAGACAAGGAGTAGAGTCAGGCTTAGGGGTCTAGGATTTCTCCCAGGGAATTAAAGGCAGGAGCCTGGGCAGGAAAAAAGCCCTTGGGAAGTCTAGGGGTGCTGGGACCTGGGGACAAAGCTCTTCAGAGAGTAGGTGTGTCCCTGGAAAGTCACTTTAGGACCCATGTGGCTCATGGGCACTGAGCCTTGGGGAGCCCCCACCCCACCACCTCCAGGAGCACAGATTCCCCCAGCAGAGTGAGAGATGGAGAGAGAGCTAAGAAACTGAGGGTGACTCAGAGAGCACCCAGGGACAGAGTGGGCCTTGAGGTGGGAGGCAGGTGGGGGCCCTCAATGGTTCCTGGGGGTGCTGTCAGCTGCAGCACCAGCAAAACCTCCCCCTGCCCAAACCTCCCAGTGCCCAAGGACCTCCCTCCACATTCCTTTCATTCTTGGGACCACCAGGGTGGCGGGTATCATTACCCCAGGTTTTTTTTTTTTTTTTTGAGATGGGGTCTCACTCTGTCACCCAGCCAGGAGGGCAGTGGCGCAATCCTGGCTCACTGACTCCTGGGTTAAAGCGATTCTTCTGCCTCAGCTTCCCAAGTAGCTGAAACCACAGGCGCACGCCACCACGCCCGGCTACATTAGCCCTGTTCTGGCACCCGCCAGCTGCGTGACGTTGGGCAGGTCACTCCCTCTCTGAGCATCTGTTTGTGCTCTCTTCTGTAATCTGGGGACCATGTGCTCACCTTGCTGGGATGGGGTACCTGGAGGATGACAGCGTGTATGTGCAGATGCCCACCAGGCTGAGGTCTGGACATACTGTGGGCTCTCAGAGGGTGGGCACCTTTGTTACAGCTATTCCCACTTTCCACAGCAGGGGGGCCACCCTGGAGAAGATGTGACACTACCACCAGGGACCTGATGGCCGGTCTCTAAGGGGGGAAGAGTCCGTGCACGTCAATGAGCAATAATGTTGGTGATAGCCAGAAAGAAGCCTGGCATCCAGAAAAGAGCCCCTGGGCAGGGGCTGGGCTGGAGCCTGGCAGCTGAGCTGGGGAAGAGCAGAGCCCTGTGGCATCAGACATGGGCCTCCCGGGGAGCCCTTTGTGAATGTGCTTGGCCACTCCTGCCTTCATCCCTGCGGGCCTCAGCTCTGGGAGGTGCCAGCTACCCTCGAGCTGCAGGAAAGGAGGGCATGTAGCCAGGCTCTTGAATAACACCAAGAACGGTGCCCTGAGCCAGGCACAGTGGCTCATGCTTGTAATCAATCCCAGCACTTTAGGAGGCCAAGGCTGGGGAGGATCTCTTGAGCTCAGGAGTTCAAGACCAGCTGGGCAACACAGTTAGATCCCATCTTTATGAAAAAAAAAAAAAAAAAAAAAAAAAAAAAAAATTGCTGGGAGTGGTGGTGCGTGTGGTCCTAGCTACTCAAGATGCTGCGACAAGAGGGTTGCTTGAGTGTGGAGGTTGAGGCTGCAGTGAGCCATGATCGCACCACTGCACTCCAGGCCTGTAATCCCAGCACTCTGGGAGGCCAAGGCAGGCGGATCACTTGAGGTCAGGAGTTTGAGTCCAGCCTGGCTAACATGGCGAAACCCCGTCTCTACTAAAAATACAAAGTAGCTGGGCTTGGTGGTATGCACCTGTAAATCCCAGCTACTGGGGAGGCTGAGGTTGCAGTGAGCTGAGATTGTGCCACGGCACTGCAGCCTGGGTCTCTCACACACGCAGGCAGACACACACACACACACACACACACCCACCCACCCACCCACCCACCTCAGAATAAGAGAAAGAAAGAAAAGAAAAAACAGTGACCTAGAACCCTTTGGTGTAGCCAAAGGGTCCTTCTTCACAAAGAACTGGGGTTGAAGGGGTGACTGCTCCAAGGGAAGTGACAGGCCCACCTCCCAGGATCCTGGCACCAAATACTCCACCCTGTCAACCAGATTAGACCACGCAGTCCCCAAAGGCAGTCCCTGGCCCCCTCAGCTGCTACCCAGGTGCCTCCTCTGGTGCCCCCAAGAGGTAGGAGTTACGGGGTGCTCACCTTGGGCGGCACGAAGAACTCCAGGCGGAAGCGTTCCTCGGCCACGGCCCTGCGCAGGAGCAGGCGGCACTTCTGCCACTGCGCCGCGCCCCCGGGACCCGCCGCCGCGTCGTCGGCCACCATGAAGCGCAGCGCCCCCTCGCGCTGAATGTCCACCAGCTCCACCTTGGCCGCCAGCGTCCGAGACAGCCGCAGGCGCCGCGTCCACTTGTCACGGGGCTCAGCGGCGGGCTCGGCGGCACGCGGGGCAGCTCCAGCGTCGGGCTCGGGCGAGGCGCGCCGGTGCCACATGTCGCGCACGCCGTCCACCACGCACAGGCTCATGTTGCGCAGCGAGAAGCCCTTGCGGACGCGGGCCTTGATGGCCGCCTGCGTGGACACGTCCTCCGAGCTCCGCGAGTGGCCGTAGTTCGCCGCCTTGAGTGCAGAGGTCTCCGCGGGCTCTGGCTCCATGGCCTCCGCGCGTGCGGTCGCGCCCCGAGACGTCGGCCCGGCCACTAGCACGCGGCGCACCTCCTCGCCGAAGACGTCCAGGAAGTTGGCGGCGAAGTGGCGGGAGAACGAGGCGCCGGCGTCCGGCGTGTCGTAGGCTGGGTTGTCCCGCAGGAAGCGGCAGAACTTGTGCGCAAAGTCCACGGCGGCCGCCTGCGCGTGCAGCTCGCAGAACTGCCGCCAGTCCGGGACCGGGACCGGGACCGGGACCGGGGCGGCTGCGGCGGGGCCGGGGGCGGCACCATTCATGGCTTCCGTCCCATCGCAGCCACCTGTGGCTGCGGGCGAGAAGAGCGCACTTTGACTTTCAGGCCTGTGATCAGTACGTCCACCTGTCCCCTCCTTCCAGCTCCCGCAGTGCTCCCCGGGGCTGTGAGTGAGTGAGTGAGTGAGTGAGTGAGTGTGTGTGTGTGTGTGTGTGTGTGTGTTGGGGTACTACAGCATGCAGCGTTTCCAAGCAGCATGGATGTGTGCAAAGAAAAAGAAAAAGTGGGGCCGGTGCGTGGCTGACACCTGTAATCCCAGCACTTTGGGAGGCCGAGGTGGATGGATCACCTGAGGCTGGGAGTCAGAGACCAGCCTGGCCAACATGGTGAAACCCCGTCTCTCCTAAAAATAGAAAAATTAGCCAAGTGTGGTGGTGCACGCTGTAATTCCAGCCACTCTGAAGGCTGAGGCAGGAGAATCACTTGAGCCCAGGAGGCAGAAGTTGCATTGAGCTGAGATTGCGCCACTGTACTCCAGCCTAGGCAACCGTAAGACTCTGTCAAAAAAAAAAAAAAAAAAAAACGAGAGAAAGAGAAAGACAACTGGGGAGGCCGGAGGGGTGTCTGCAGAAGGGGCAGTCCTGCATCATTCTCTCCCCAAACAGTAGTCTCAGAGAACTTCAGGGTCATTCCTGGGGCTGGCAGAAGAGGCTGGGATGACAGATGCTTTCAAGTGGGTTCCCCATGAGCCTCTGGTGACCTCACTTCCTCAGTGACCTCTTCTGAGGTTCCACAAAGCTGGGTAGAAAGGAAGAAGTCACATGGAATCCCGTTGGCCAGACCTTTGAAATATACCGAGAACTCAACTCCTTCCTAGAGGTCCAGGCTGCCGTCCCCGGAGTCACATAAATTTTTCCTGCATGTAGTACTCCAGCAGCTTCTTCATGATCCCTGGGTTCCTGATCTCACTCCCTCTAAAGTCTGTCTTGCCTGGGCGAGGTGGGTCACACCTGTCTGTAATCCCAGCACTTTGGGAGGCTGAGGCGGGTAGATCATGAGATCAGGAGTTTGAAACCAGCCTGGTCAAGATGGTGAAACCCTGTCTCTACTAAAAATACATAAACTAGCTGGGCATGGTGGCAGGTGCCTGTAATTCCAGATGCTTGGAAGGCTGAGGCAGAAGAATCGCTTGAACCGGGAAGTGGAGGCTGCAGTGAGCCGAGAACATGCCACTGCACTCTAGCTTGGGCGACAGAGCAAGACCCTGTCTCAAAAAAAAAAAAAAAAAAAAAAATTTCTGTTCTCCTCGGAGCCCAGTCATTTCCAGAACTCAGGACTGCCATATGCGGTTGTGCATGCCTATAATCCCAGCACTTTGGGAACCTAAGGGTGGAGGATTACTTGAAGCCAGAAGTTCAAGACCAGCCTGTGCAACATAGCGAGACTCTATCACTAGAAAAAGTAATAATAAAAAAATTATCGAGGCCAGGCGCAGTGGCTCACAGCTGTAATCCTAGCACTTTGGGAGGCCAAGGCTGGTGGATCACGAGGTCAGGAGTTCAAAACCAGTCTAGCCAAGATGGTGAACCCCGTCTCTACTAAAAATACAAAAATTAGCCAGGCTTGGTGGCAGGTGCCTGTAATCCCAGCTACTCGGGAGGCTGAGGCAGAGAATTGCTTGAAATTGGGAGGTGGAGGTTGCAGTGAGCCAAGATCATGCCACTGCTCTCCTCCAGCCTGGGCAACAGTGCAAGACTCCGTCTCAAAAAAAAAAAAATCATCTTGGCTGGGGACATTGGCTTACACCTGTAATCCCAGCACTTTGGGAGGCTGAGGTTGGCAGAGTGTTTGAGCTCAGGAATTCAAGACTAGCCTGGGCAACACGGCAAAACCCTGTCTTTACAGAAAAAAAAAAAAAATACAAAAAATTAGCTGGCCATGGTAGTGCACACCTGTAGTCCCAGCTACTTGGAAGTATCACCTGAGCCTGGGAGGGTGAGGCTACTGTGAGCCATGATGTCACCACTGTACTCCAGCCTGGGCAACAGAGCAAGACTCTCTCTCAAAACAAACAAACAAACAAACAAACAAAAAACCCAAAACAATCCGGATGTGGTGGCATCCCTATAGTCCTAGCTACTCAGGAGACTGAGGTGGGAGAATTGCTTAAGCCCATGAGTTGGAGGCTGCAGTGAATTATGGTCATGCCGCTACACTCCAGCCTGGTGATACAGATCCTGACTCAAAAACCAAAACAAAACAAAAAACCCCAAACCCAAAACACGAGACAGATCAAGTCCCTCCTCCACACACAATCCCCCAACGGTTCCTATTGAGTAGAAGCCAAAGCTCTATCTGCAGCCCCTAGGGCCTGAGATGATCTGCCTCAGTTTACCCCTCTGGGCATATCTGCTGCCACTGTTCCCTGGCTGTACCTGCCTCCCTGCCCTCCCAGAAGCACAGCAGCCATATTCCTACCCCAGGGCCTTTGCACGCACCTGGAATGTTCTTTCCTCCACAATCCCTCACCTCCTTCAGGTTTCTACTCAATGATCAGCTTGGCCCATAGCCTTCCCTAACCGCTCTTGAGAGTGACAAATGCCTCTGATGACAATCTCCCTCTGATGCGCGCCGTGCACTCTATTCCACCATCATCCTGACTGCCGGCTGACATGTCGTGTATTCAGTTGCTTGGTTGTGTGTCCCCCTCTGCCCCCTTCCCCCGAGAATGCCAGTTTCACAAGACGGATTTTGCCAGCCCTAGAAGCGGCCGTGTCCTCCGTGCTGGGCATATGGCAGGCACTTGGGAAACACTGACTGAATGAACACATGAATGTGTTTGCCATACCAGGCGTGTCACAGCTGTCACTGCCTAAGCCCTGACACTGGGCCTGAGGACAAACTGCTTGTTAGTGACGAGACAGGTCTAGGGTTCTCACCCAGGTCTGCAGTGACTCCAGGACTTGAGGTGCCTCCTCCTAGTGTGGATCAAATACAGTAGTTCCCTCTTGTCCAAGAGGGTATGTCACAAGATCCCTAGCAGATGCTTGAAACTGTGGCTAGTACTGAACCTATGTCACTGTCCTTGCCTGGCTGGGTGTGTGTGTGTGTGTGTGTCTGTGTGTGTGTGCACGCGTGCGCATACATAGAGACAAGATCTCACTCTGTTGACGAGGCTGGTCTCTAACTCCTGGGCTCAAGCAATCCTCTGGCCTCGGCCTCCCAAAGTGCTGAAATTATAGGCATGAGCCACTTGCACCTGGCCCACTACGGTTTTTGGATCTAATAACCGACACAGCTCCTAAGTGATGAGCGGGTCACAGCCACAGCGCTGCCAGACAAAGAGATGATTTACATCCCAGGTGAACGGCCGGACAGTGTGAGATTTCATCCTGCCACTCACAATGGCCTGCAATTTACATTTTTATTCGTATGTCTACTTCTGGGACTTTCTATTTAATATTTTCAGATCTCTGTTGACCACAGGTATCTGAAACCTTGAAAAGCAAAGCTGTGGATAAGAACTAAGGTTTTTTTCTTTTTTTTGAGACAGAGTCTCTTGGTGTCTCCCAGGCTGGAGTGCAGTAGTGAGATCATAGTTCACTGCAGCTTCCAACTCCTGGGTACAAGCGATCCTCCTGCCTCAGCCTTCCGATAGCTAGAACTACAGGGGAGAGCTACCAGGCCTACCTAAGCAAACCAAGATTTTATACTGACACTGAAGGACCTGCTTCTTTCCATCACAACGGCCTGGACGCTTCTATTTACATTCCCACGTTCTGGAATATGGGTCCCCCCAGAATCCCCATTCAAATTCGATTTTGAAGATGCCCCAGTCCAGGAATCCCAGCTGTCTCCTCACCCCAGCTTCATCCTCTTATTCCCAGGCCCCTCCGTCCTTCAGTCCTTCACCGCTCTGGATGGCTGAACTGTGTGGCTTGGGGCCAGCAGATCACCTGGAGGCCTTGCCATTGCCCTTGAGGGCACAGGTCCAATCTGCTGTGTGCACACAGCACTTATTCAAGCCAGGGGGAAAATTACCAATACTGATGAAGTGGGGTGATGTAGTAAGTGCCCTGGGAAGTCCCTGTCTGAGGAGCCAGCCCAGTGTTGGGGGACATGGGACCATCCTTCCGAGGAATGGAGTTAGAGGAATGGAGTTAGAGCGTCTTGCCCTCGCCTGTCCTCCCAGGATCCCCACAGTTCCTGGATGCCCCTCCCTCGCAGCTCCTGGGATCACCATCTCATCTCTCCTCGGGGATCCCAACCCTGTAATTAAATGCCAGGTAAAAATAGCTGCCCCACTTCTGTGAGATCATCTGCGAGGCCTCTGGGCCATAGGGCACCGTGGGAATTCCCTCTCTCCTTGGGGCAAGCTCAGCCAGCAACCTGCAGACAATAACCAGGGAACAGCCCCAGGGACGGAACAGGACTCCCTGCTGAGCCCACTTAGCTTCAAGGACAGGTTTCCAAACCAGCGGTCTCCTAGGAGATCCTGCCTTGGTACTGGGGGAGGGGAGGGGAGTAGGGATAGGGAGTAGGGAGTTTGGTTTCCTCCAAGAGGTGGTTATTGCGTTGGGCTTCAAGAGTGCAAAGAAAATAAAGAGGGAGCTGGGGGCCTGAGCAATGACTTGGAGGCAGGACTTACCAGGACACTGGCGGCTGGGTAGTGGTGGTGGTGTTTAGATCTCATGAAGGCGGGGGGAGGATGGGGACGGAGGCCCCCACGAGCTTTGCTCATGCCTGACCTTTTCCCTGCCCCATGTTTCTTCCTTTCTTCCCCTAATTCCTACTCACCCTTCAGTAATTAATCCAGACGCCACTTCTTCCAGGAAGCCTTCCCTCATACCCCTCCTTTCTCCTCTGCTCAGGCCAGCACAAGTGTCTCCTCTGAGCTCCCACAGCCTCCTCCTGCCTGTCTCTCTTGCATGGTGCCAGTTATAGGGTTCTCCAAGTGTCTGTTCTCATGGCTGTCTCCCCAGTTGACACAGAGAGTCCACAGGGACAAAAGGAAGACCTGAGTCATATTCCAGGCTCCTGCAACTTGCTTCTTCCCTGAGGGTGGAGGTGGGAACATACCTGCCACTACCACCACCAGCCAGTGGCCGGTCCAGGCCCAGGCCTTGACCTTCGGGGATGGCATTTCCTGGGGCAGGGGTGGGGCTGCAGCTGAGCCCATGAAACCCAGTCCCTGAGCTCCAAGCCCATCCATTTATCTGGTAGGCTAGTGCTCCTGACGGTGGCCACCTCTCTCTTTACCATTGGGAAACCCGGGGGACTCAGAGCTGGTGACCCCGCAGCCTGGGAAGGGTAGGTGTGAGGTCCCTGAGTGAGGTGATTACACACCCACGTGGCGCAGGCAACGGCAGGCAGGAAGTCAGCCCAGTGCCGAGTTCTCAGACATCAATCCATCCCTGTCACCCCCGGCTCTTCCTGCTGGCTGGAGGAACCCTTGATAGGGAGAAGGCACAGAGATGGGGAACAGGGCCCCGGGGGAGGCTCTCGCAGGTGAGGCCCAGGTAGCCCTCACTGGAGTGGGAGTGGAACTTACAGAGGAATCTTCCAAGGGCATGGCAGGTGTGGCCAGCCAGGCCCTAAACAGGGACTGCCCTGGGAGGTTGGGACTGCCTTGACCTCCCCTCCCCAACCCTGCAGGCCTGCCAGGAGCCTGTGGGCCTGATGCCGGGCACAGCAGTCCTCCGTAGGACCAGCCTGGATCCACAGGGGAGGCAGGTTGAGTAGCTAGAAGGAAAAGTCTCCAAGCCACAGTGCCAGCAGGGAGGGCCCCACCTGGCTACAGATGGAGAGAGCGAGGCTGGACCTGGTTCTCTGGAGAGGGGAGGCTGCAGGCCACAGGGAAGGGGGCCTGGCTGTGGCAGGGGCAGGAGTGCGCTGTCCCCGCCTGCCCCTGGGACCAGAACTGGGGGGAGGAGGCCATGTGTAGAGAGCTTGGCTGACCCGGGTTCAAAGCATGAGCCCTCGGCTCCCTAAGTGAGTGACGCTGACCACACTCCCGACCTCTGAGCCCCCCTCCTCACTTTCTGTCCACTCAGTGGAAAGATGGGGCGAGAGGTGGTGTCTGCAATGTTACAACACACGTGCAGTCATGGGCAGGGCAGGTAACTTCTGGGTACGGCCAAGGTAGGTGTTTCAAGCCCTCTCTAGGAACTTTGCTCTTCCCACTCTTCATCATCTCCCCTGCCTTTAGACCTCTTCTGGCTGGATGCGGTGGCTCACGCCTGTCATCCCAACACTTTGGGAGGCTAAGGTGGGTAGATCACTTGAGCTCAGGAGTTCAGCAGCCTGGGCAACATGGTGAAACCCTGTCTCTACTAAAAGTACAAAAATTAGCCAGGCGTGGTGGCACATGCATGTAGGCCCAGGTACCTGGGGGACTGAGGCAGGAGATTGGTTTAACCCAGGAAGTTGAGGCTGCAGTGAGCCGACACTGCACACCTGCACTGCAGCCTGGGCAAGAGAATGAGACCCCATCTCAAAAACCAACCAAAACAAAACCTCTTCTCCCAGGAAACCTTTGCCCTGTACCGTTCTCGCTCTCCATGACCCTGTGACCTTTAACTCTCTTGGTGGTCAGCCCTCCTCCACGATTCCAGGGTGCCAGAAAAAACCAGCTGTGTTGGTGTGGGGCAGTGCTGGCCTGGGCTCTGTCCTGGGCCAGGCCCTGTGTCTCTTGGGGCCTCAGCTTCCCTACCAGTAAAACGGGGTGCTGGACCTGTGTGTGGCCTCTAGGGGCCCCTGATTCGGACGCAGACATGATGACCTTGGACACTGAAGACTGGGCTGTCATTCCATTAAGACCAGGGACAGGGAGGGATTGCCTCTCCCCCTCACATCCTGCTTCTCTGAGGATTGGCGCTGGAGACAAAGAAGCCCACCCAGGTCCCCCTACAGTGCTGGGCCTCCTCGGAGCACTGGGCGGTTAGACCACCCTCCCCCAACCCATCACAGCCCCCACCTCTGGTTTTCCTACGCTCAGCCGGACTGCCTGGCTTCTCCTCCTGAAAAAATGTTTTTTTTGTTCCCATCTTGGATGGGATGGGGGCTTCAGAGGGGTTTTTGGTGGCGGGGTATGGAGCAAGGAGGGCCGGGAAAGTCTAATGGAGTCCCTGTTCATCGCCTTTCTAAACCACCGCCTCCCCTAACCCCACGACCCGCAACCCAGACAAGAGACCCCCGCCCCCAACCCGGCTAGACAGTCGGTCCAGCCGGCATGGGGGAGGGGCAGCGGCTTTCCAGTGGTAAAAATAGCGCTGACAATTGGAGGACAAAAAAAAAAAAAAAACAAAAAAAAACAAAAAAAAAAACACGTGGCTTCAGACCCCGCCCGCGCAGCAGTGCCGGACCCCAAGGCCGGGTCATTCCTTAAAATATTGATGAGTCGGACTCGTCACCCCCGCTAATGGGCCGGCGACCAATCGATGCGCGGCGTAGTGGGCGGTGGCCCTGGGGGCGGGGAGAGCCAGCAGCCCCGCCCACGTCCAGCTGGCGACCCCATCCCCTCCCCAGCACCATCCCAGCCACAGGAGGCCAGGAGCCCCGGGGAGAGGAGGGATAGTCAGTGGTCCCACCGCGCAAACTAGCTATGCAGCACCCCAAAAAGCTGCACCCCACTGCCAAGAGCCCCCGTTCCTCCTGCACCTCACTTAGCTCTGTCCTTGGAGCAGCACTCACAAAACCAAGTACATGAAACGGGAGAGGCTCCTCCCTTATGTCCTGGGGTGGGCAGGGCCGCCTATCCCGCCATGAACCATTCAAGATGGGGAAACTGAGGCCTCTTTTTTAAGATAAAGTCTCACTCTGTGGCCCAGGCTGGGGTGCAGTGGTGCAATCATAGCTCACTGCAGCCTTGAACTCCTGGGGCCAAGCAATTCTCTTGCCTCAGCCTCCCAAGTAGCTGGGACTACAGGCACATGACCCCATGGCCAGGTTATTCCTTCTTTATTTTGAGACAGAGTCTGGCTCTGTTGCTGAAGCTGGAGTGCAATGGCAGGATCTCGGCTCACTGCAACCTCTACCTCCCAGGTTCAAGCAATTCTCCTGCCTTAGCCTCCTGAGTAGCTGGGACCAAGCCTAGAGAATTTTTGCATTTTTTGTAGAGACAGGGTTTCACCATGTTGGCCAGGCTGGTATCAAACTCCCAACGTCAGCTGATACGCCGGCCTCAGCCTCCCAAAGTGCTTGGATAACAGGCGTGAGCTTCTGCACCCAGCCCCAGGTCATTTTTTGATATTTTGGTAGAGATGGGGTCTCACTATGTTGCCCAGGCTGGTCTTGAACTCTTGGTGCAGCCTCTTCTTGGGGTACTTCCCTGCCTGACATAAGAGACAAGGCCTCACTCTGGTCACCTCCACCACCCTCAGAAAAGCTGCCCAGCCATGCCTACTTATGTACCCTTAGGGGTCCTCAGATCTTAGCAGCACTGGCCTGTCCCACACAGCCTCGCTCTGGACAACAAAGGCTCCTTCAATCCTGCTGTTCCTCAAGCGCCCTCCTGGCCTCGGTGGGGCAGTCCCCTCCACCCCTCCAGCCTGCTTTCTGCACCCCTCCCTGGGCAGGACACAGACGATCTTTGGGCAGGCCATCCCTCTGGCCTGGAGTGACTCCCACCCGCTGACCAGGTATGAGCCTTTCTCTCCCCTGCAGATTCAAGAACAGAGCACACAGCGCAGTCTCTGCTTGGCCGCTGAATACGTGGGTGTTTCAAGTCCGTCTTACTCCTCACCTCCCCAGAGACCGCATCCCCGCAAGGTAGGCCCTGAACCAGGGCCTCCCGCCAGAGCGAGGATGTGGCTGGAATTCTCCCCTCCCCTCCCAGAGTATCTGCACTCACCCCACCACCCTGGCAGAAGGCAAAGTAGGCATGGTTTCTGGTCTGAACACTCTTGAACTTGCTGTGACTTTGCTGCAGAGTGGGTGGGTGGGGCCTTCTGACTGGCAATGGGGCCAGGTGTGGATTAAGAGCTGTATACCTCTGTATGAGTGAGTAGGTACTAAGGAGTCTTGGCTGTTCTGAGCATTAGTTTCCCTAGCTGCTCTTCCCTGTAGATAACTTTCTAGTCCAAGGCCTGCCCTGAGCAATGTCGCCTGGAGGCAGCTGTTACAACAGTCCTGTGCCCAGGACAACCCCAGGCCTGTCACACAACACTCTGCCTTTGCCACCGTCGTGGAAGGATGGGATCCCTTCTGCTGGGCCCCCCTGCTTTTGCAGACACCCCAAGCTTGACAAGCCCTGCCGGCCTGCAGACCCTCAGTCCTAGAGATTCCCACAGTTGCATCTGACAGTTGCTCCCCAGCAAAGGGAGCCCCACTGCCTGGGCGCCTCCCTACGGCCACTTCTGGTGTTAAAAGTCTGAGATCTGGAGCTAGACTGTCTGGGTTTGAATCCCAGCTCTCCTGCTGCCTGGCTGCATGACCCCTTGGACTCTGGAGCCTCAGTTTCCCCATCTGTTAAGATGGAGGTGAGAGCAGTGCTAACCACATGGGGCTGTCATGATGATTAAATAAACAGTTTGTTTAAAAAATCACAGCTCTGGCTGGGCATGGTGGCTCACGCCTGTAATCCCAGGGAGGGATTTGGGAGGCCAAGGTGGGTGGATCACGAGGTCAAGAGATCGAGACCATCCTGGTCAACATGGTGAAACCCCGTCTCTACTAAAAATACAAAAATTAGGCTGGCAGGGTGGCAAACACCTATAATCCCAGCTACTCAGGAGGCTGAGGTAGGAGAATCACCAGGAGGCAGAGGTTGCAGTGAACTGAGATCTCCAGCCCCAGTAACAGAGCAAGACTATGTCTCAAAAAAAAAAAAAAAAAAAAAAAAAAAAATCACAGCTCTATCCATTCCCTTTTGCCCCAGCTGCTTGCGGCAGACGGCTGCAGAGGTACCCATCACCCCAGCACATACGCCCACCCTCCAGCATGACCAGCGTCAGCATTCTACAGCCCACACCTCAGGGGCCATACCCCTGTCAAAATCCTTCTCCCCTCACATCTTTCCTGTAAGAAAGAGATGTTTCTCCATTGTAGAGACAAAGAAACGGGGTTCTGGGGAGGGAGGTGACTAGCCCGCCACACACTGGCCACCACATAGTGGTGGGCCTGCTGTGTGTCAGACGCCAGGCAGGAGGGTCCAGGGCCACAGAATGCGTAAGAGGGGAGGCCGGGTGCAGTGGCTCACGCCTGTCATCCCAGCACTTTGGGAGGCCAAGGAGGGCGGATCACTTGAGGTCAGGAGTTTGAGACCAGCCTGGCCAACACGGTGAACCCACGCCTCTACTAAAAATACAAAAATTAGCTGGGCATGGTGGTGCAAGGCTGTAATCCCAGCTACTCAGGAGGCTAAGGCAGGAGAATTGCTTGAGCCCCAGAGGCAGAGGTTGCAGCGCACCATTGCACTCCAGCCTGGGTGACAGAGCAAGACTCTCTCAACCACAAACAAACAAAAAGAGGGGTATGGAGCCAAGTTCCAGGTTGGTCCCTTTCTGAGACCTCTTTCTAGTGATCTCCCCTTACAAGGGCAGAGTGAGAGGACCCAGTCCCTGTTTCGGGAAAGGAGATGCCGGCCTTTAGATGGGGCACTCTGAGAGGCTGTGGGTGGGCAGGGGAATTCACAGATGGGCTCCTCAGGAAGTGGGGGTCAGATGAGCATGGAGTGGGGGCCAGGACAACAAGCTAAGCTAGGCTCTGGGGGCTCAAGAGGCAGACTCAATCTCCTTCAGGAGTGCCCAGTGCTGGACAGTTCCTGGATGGGCTCTGCAGGTGGAGAGCAGGCCGGGCTGGTTCCAGCTGCACTGGCCCTGCTCACTCCCACCACCCCACCCTGCCTCTCTGGGGTTGCAGAGCAGAGGTCCCTCACTTCTCCAGCCTTGGCATGAGATGCTCAGCCCCTTCCACTCCCCTGGTGTCATAAGCCTTACGTGGGTCCTGGCCCAGTCCCCTAAACCTGCAGGATCCCCCTTTAGTCCCCACCAACTCATCCCATCGAGCTGCCTTCTGGCTTTTCCAGGACACACATACCAGTGCCTCCTGAGACGTCGGGTGGCACCCCTAAGGTCTGAGCATCCCCGAACTCCGGGGGCTGCAGGTGTGAATAAAGCTTCCCCAGGCCTTTCTCTGGGCTCAACTCCCAGCCTGGCTGATCACCAGGTACCTCAAACTCACCACATCCAAGTTCTAATACATCCTCTTCCTCCAACTCCTGCTTGTCCTCTGCACGGA